CAAATGCCAATGCAATTGCCATTTCAAACGATCTGCGCATGAGTGAAAGAGTGCGTCGCGTGTGAGTTACAATGGAGACAATGGAGGATCAAACGTGCGAAGAGTTCGAGTAGCGTGCGAGAGTGCGTGATCGAGTGGACAGGGACAAGCGGCAAAAGCCTAGCGTTTAACAGTAGATGCACAGTACATACAAACAGTATTTATACACCTACCCGTACATTTGTATGTGGAATGGTATAAACAGGGGCACATGTGCATATCATTTTTTTTCTGTGATTTGTGATTTTGTTGCTGTTGTTTGATTTTTTTGTGTTTTTTTTTTTGTCGACGCTGCTGCCCCTGTCTGTAGCGTAGCCGATGAGCCGCCGTCTGAGGCTAAAAGGTTAACTTCTAAATATTAATAGTCGTTGTGTCGGGGTTTGTTGTCAGCAACGAAATAACGAAATCCGAGTAACACCAACAACATAAAGACAATAAACAACAACGAAGAAGTACACAAGTACAAAAATCGCCAGTAAATCGCCCCGTTTATTCCCTTTTCAGTTGTTGTTTATTTATGTAGTCTTTGTCTCTCATTCGGTTTTGGTTTTGGTGTTCGGTTTTTTTTATTTTTCTTTTCCTGCAAGTGCGTTTTTGTATGTTCCCTTCCGTTTTGTACTATTTTTTGGTGTAGTTTTTCTAGACTTTTAATGGATGTGGCATAGAAGCACCGTTACCGGTATTAGCGGTAAATGCAGCAATCAGCCGTTTTATCCGATTTGAAATACCAATGCCGTTAGACAGCAGCAAAAAGAAGAAGAGACATCAAGTGCACATCAACAAAGTGGCAGGAGCGGCCATTACAAGATACAAGAGGAAAATAATTGGAAGCACGTACACCAACACACACACAGGCAGATAAAACAGATACAAATTAAGAGCGAAAATAGGAAGAGAAGAGATCTCAGCGTAACGCCTACTCAGCAAAAACGGGCGGTGGGTGGCAGGAGGAAGGAGGAAGGAGGAGCAACGAAAAAGCGGCTGACTACAACAAAAATTCTCAAATGGTAAGCAAAGATGAATGAAGCGAGCAGAAGAACGAGCGAGAGAGAGAGAGCGACGGAGAGAGAGGAAAACAGAGAGTAAAATGCAGTAGCTGAGAGGGAGAGAGACAGAGCGAGAGAGTAGGAGCAAGAGAGAAGAATCTGAGAGAGTGGAAGAAGAGAGGAATACTAGAAATTCCAATGCAAAATGCAGTTGCACTTACTGTTACAGTTGCAGAGGATTCAAATCCGAGATCTATGTATGTATGTTTGTATATGCACATACATATGTACATATGTATGTACGAGTACACCGTGATATTCTACGATTCCGTGATGATTGTCAAAAACTGTTCGGACTCTGATTGTAGTTGGTCATACTCGTTTTCCTAAGAAATAACCATGAGATGACTGATCTTCAACCAATCAGGTGTACGTATGTTAAATATATGTACATATTTATGTAAGACACTTAGATGAAAATGATCAGATAAGAAAAACTCTAAATATTTTAAATTTTTAAACATTTCGAATTTTTCTAAAGCAATTTTTCCGATATCGATTGTTTAACTTGGTGCTATAAGAGATTACAGAGCTCTGCATATATTTAATTAAATGTTTCAATCAAAATCAAAAATTAAAGATAAGCTTTGTCACAACTTTCAGTGGAAAAACATTTAGTAGGAATGAGGAATAAGGGTAATTCTAATAATTCTAACGGTCAGTGAAATTCGACGTATAACCTATTGGACAATAATCGACAAAATTGACCTTTTTACCCTCAAGAAACCAACCGAATTTTTCTGATAGATATCGGGCATTCAAATTTGTTAATGAGTTATGGTTTTTTTGTATGTCAAAACTATTTTTTTAAGAATTTAAAAGAAGTTTGTTATTTTTTTTAAGCTTTCTTCAGAGGTAGCGGGTTGTTTTTTCACATAACTTAAGTATCTTAGATCTGGTTGTAAGGTACATTGTTTATCTGAAAAGTTGATTGATGCAGCTAAAAAGTGGACCCAAACACTTTGTGGTTTCAGCTTACCGTCTGGAAATCATTAAGCTTTGAAATGCACAAATGCTCTCTGTTTTTTATATCAATAAATATTGTTTAGAGTTTACAGTTTCCACAATATGAGTACCAGTTGGTTTTCAATCATTTGCTGTCTGCAAAATAAAAGAAAAAACATACAAAGAACGGTTTGAATTTGGTTTATATTCCATGCTGGAAGTGTGTGATTTGGGCAAGTTCCAATTTCTATGACATTCTGTGCCTGTTGTACTTGAATACGACACCACCACCGCACCATTTGCTCGTCTAGAAAAAAACAGAAATTCAATTCAAATAAGAACAAAAATAAATAACTAAAAAAAATCAAGAAGACAATACGATACCTTAATTGTAATTGTTTATGTTTAGTTTGAGTGTTAAAAGGTTTTGAGTGTTACTAGTGCCATATTTTAGCCAACATATGGTTGATTGAGAAAGTGTTTAAACCAATAAACCAAAGACATTCATATTCTATAAGCCCAAAATAATTTGTTGCAAACATCTATGATGGAAAGAGTACTAAATAACCCATCCTATACCATCAATCAACGATCTATTGCAGGAGACGAAGAACCCAACCCCAGTGACGACGAGCAATTATCACCACCAGAGGGCGCCGCGTACACCGGAGAGCTACTTCAATGTGCCGGAGTCGGTGGCACTGCTGAATATTGTCAAGTCGGAGCGCATACAGAGCGCGTTCCAGTCCAACCGAAAGAACCATGCCAGCGTGTGGGAAATGGTGGCCGAGGTGCTGAACCGGTTCAGTGCGCGCAAGCGTACCGCCAAGCAGTGCTGCAACCGGTACGAGAATCTCAAGAAAATCTACACGCAGCTGAAGAAGAATCCGGAGCGGCACGTGCGCCGCAACTGGCCGTACATGTTTCTGTTCAAGGAGATCGAGGAGCAGCGCGGCGAGTGCTGGGGCTCCAATGGCAAGCGTCTGGCGCTCATTTCCAAGAATCACAACGAACTCTCGTACTACCAGAGGCGGAGGCAGGCGGCCGAGCTCGGCGTTCTGCTGAACAAGGACAATCTGACGCCACATCAGCACAGTCTGCTGCAGAGCCTCAGCCAGAGCCATGCCCACTCCACGGACTCATCGCAGAGCGGTGCCAGCAAGCTGGAGCGCTTTCTGCCCAACCACTTTGTGGAGGCGCAGCTGAACGATGTGCCCTGCTCTGGCAATGGCAACGGCCTGACAGTGGGCCTGCCTGCCGGCGTCTATGACGACAATCCCAATCCCCTACAGCTGCAAGTGGCAGGCGCCGTGGCGGCTGCCGCAGCTGCCGCTGCCGTGGCCGCCCAGAAACGTAGCCATGAACTGCACCTGAGCAATGGCGGCTGTGTCCAACTGCCGCCGGATGAGGACGAGGACGATGAGCCACAGAATGCTGCATTTAAGGACCACCATCATCATGGCCATGGTCTAGGGCATGGCCATGGTTTGGGTCATGGTCTTAATCTCGGCCATGGCCTCAGTCATGTTCATGGCCACGGGCAAGGCCACGGGCATGGCCACTTGGATGACACCGCCGAAACGCCCGACTACGAGAAGGACTGCAACGGAGCCCTCAACTTGCACCATCAGAACAACAACAACAACAATAACCACAACGACAACAACATATCCATGAAGTGAGTAAAAGAAGCAAAGAACCAAAACAAATCGAGCTCCATTCATGCTCCATTCACAGGTCGGAGCCACTTTCGGAGGGTGAATTCAATCCGGATGACATTCAGCTGATGCAGACCAACTACAATGGGTGAGTGGAGGAGTGAAGGAGCTGTGAGGAGTTGCCCACTCAAATTGCACTGCTTTTTCGCATCTGTTTTGCAGGACACAAAACTATTACTCGCCGGGCATTGATCAGAATATACTGCATCCGGATGTGATTGTGGACACGGACAATCTATCCGACTGCAGCTCCTCCACGTCGCTGAAGAAGAGCAAGCGCAAGCTGTCCACCTCCACCGATGGCGACAGCACCAACTATGAGCTGATCGAGTATTTGAAGCGACGCGAAAAGCGCGACGAAGAGCTCCTCAAACGGATGGATGCACGGGAGGAGCGCTTCATGAATCTGCTGGAGCGAACGGTGGTTGCCATCGAGACGCTGGCTGCGGGCAGGACGGCAGTGCGCGAGACACAGCTGGTGGTGGATGCGACTGCCGCCGGTGTTATCAGTCAGCCAATAGCACAGGCAGCAACACCAGCAGCAACGACACCAACATCTTCAGCAGCAGCAGCAACACAAACAGCAGAAGCAGCATCGTCAGCATCCTCCACTCATCTGATAGCCAAACCCACCGATCAGTCCAGCCCCGTATTGCCGGTCAAGACTTCGCCCAGCCACCGGAGTCGCAGTCGCAGTCCGACATTGGAGCGAGAGGAACCAGGTAGCGCTGCCGTTGTTGTGGTGCCCGATGAACCTGCAATCGATGCACAGCCAGAGGCACTCCCAGCAGTTGCTCAATCTACGGATGCGTAGGATCTACAATCTACTTACTTAAAAGAAAAGAACAAGAAAAAACCCTCTTGAACCGGCTGGAGGTGGCCCGGTTCGGAGAATTTTGTACCAAAGACGAGCCACGTCTCGAATTTTAATTGAGATTTGCAACGTTTCAACGTCAAAGTGCTTAAGGATTCCTTCACCCAGCTGAAACGGAGGAACCCCCCAAATGGAATATTGCGAATCGCAATGTTTGTGCCAGAAATTATTTTAAAAGAAATTTTTATATAGTTTAAGCTAAAATCAGAGGAGAGCAATCGACAATTTCTAAGATAATCTAGTTGCGAGCTGAAATGGGGCTCAAATGCATTTGTGCAGGAACTTATACACATAAACATCTTCCTTTCTCTCTCTCTACAAATCCCACTCCCCCTATTTTTTTTTTTTGTCTTGCGTAATCTAGATAAATACACCAAATTTTTCAAGAAAAAAAAATACAATTTATGCCTTACATATATTATTTCTCCTATAACTAATTAACTAGAATAGATGCTGGGAGTTGAATCTACTTGATGGCTATTTTGGGATTTTTATTTTTTGGCTGCTTGATGTCCTTGCTGGGCAGGTTTTTTCGTGTCTTCGCGATCTTGTTGCCAATCAGCAGCTTGAGGCGACTCTTCACCTTGTCATAGTCCGAATGATCCACCTCTGCCTTGGTCGTCCTAAAGAACTTGGCTCCTTCTGCAACATCAAATAACAAAAGTAACAAAATCAGTTCGAAAAGAGAGGGAGAGACGAATCCTTTCTTACCTTTCAGCCTGGGATCGTTCTTGGGTATGAAAAAAGATTCCATTTGTATTTTTGGTTTCTTTTGTTTGGATTTCTTTTTGGGCGGCTCAGTGTTCTCCTCGTTCGCTGGGTCATCCTTCGAGACAGCTGCCTGGGGCGTTGCCTCCTCATCCTCACTTTCGGATGAGTCGTAGCTGAAGGGATTTTGGGTGGCCAGGTGGCCCAGCTTGTTGGCATTGGGCTTGCTCACCAGAATCTTCTCGCTGCCCAGCTTCTCCAGCTGACCCTGGCGCTTGGCCACCTCCTCGTCGTGTGCGCTGCCAAACATGTCCAGAAGGCTGAAGCCTTCGCCACGCATGTTAAGGGATTGCGTGAGGCTGTCGGTTACCACGTAGAAGGCTTCCTTCGAGACGGTCGCCTCGACAGCGCCCTTATCTTTGGTCTTCACATCCTTGGTCTTCTTGGTCGTGACCTCCTGCTCCGGTGCCACCTTTTGCCGCACCAGCTTTTGGTGCCCTTCGTTGGCTGGATCGAAGCGAAGCATTTTCTTGCTTTTGGCTGCCTTACGCTCGTTCTCGCTGGTGTTGGTCAGCTTTCGACCCACTACTTGCTCTAGGATGCCCATTTGCCAGTTGCGTTCACTCTCCTGTGGCTTATCCTCAGCCTGTTGTGGTTCTTCCTGCTCATAATCGCCTTCTTCCTCGTCCACAAAGGTAGCTGTGATGCGGAAACGTGGATCCAAGCTTTGCTTGCTTTGCATTTCGACCAAACGTTCTCCCTTCTTGCCCTCGTACTGCGGTATAATGACCTGCTCATCATCATCCTCACCATCATCATCATCGTCGTCAAAGAGATCTAACTTGGGTTGCTTTCTCGGCCGCTCCTCCGGCTCTGGCTCATCCTCCTCGGCATCGCTGAATTTGATTCTCTTCGCACTGCTGCCGCCGTCCACGGTGATCGCGGAGAGAGCCTGCTGTATGGCGGACTTCTTCTGCAGGTGCTCCTGCCGCATCTTGTTGAGCGATTCCTTGCGCTTCTGCTCGGCCTGGCTGACCTTGGCATCCGGCTGCTGCTTGGTCGGCTTCTTGTACTGTTCGATGATGTGCAGCGGCTTCACATCGTCTTCCTTCTGAATGACAATCTGAAAGCAAAGGAGGTTGAGAAATGGCTACAGGAAGCATCCAAGACTGACAGCTTACTTTGCCATTGTGCATGGAGTGAGCGGCACGCTTCTTTGTGATGAGCAGCTCGGGCGAGATCTCATCATCGTCGATCTCCTCGTCTTCGCCAAACACCCGGCGCTTATTCTGTGTATTCTCTTTCAGCAGGCGGGAGGTACTTTCGTTGTAACTCTCGCTTTCCTGCTGGCCCTGCTCCCGCAGCTGGTTCTCCTCGCGCTCACGCTTCAGTCGATCAAGAAAGGACTCCTTGGCCACAGATATCCTCAGCTTGGCTCCATGCAGCTTCTGCCAGTTGAGCTCGTTCAGACCTACGGGCAAGAAGTCGAATGATTAAGCTTCCAGTCGAAATATTTTCGCAAACTCACAGTAGTGCGCATCGTCAGTCTGGAGTGTAACAAATCCGATTATTTTGTCCGGGCCATCCTCCTGCTCTTTCCGCTTCAGGTCCACCTGCTCCACATGGCCATAGTCCTGGAACAGGTTGCGCAGATCCGATTCCGTTGCTTTGGTTGGCAGATCTGCCAGGAAGAAGCGTGTACTGCTCATCGTTAACTTTAATATTTCGTTATTCAAAATCGACGGAGTTTAGGGCACGTGTAGTACAGTGTGACCGCTGAATTATATATACCGACATACCCTCGCAGATATACCGAAATATGCCCTTTCATTTTCAAACTATACTGCATATTTACCGTAAATCGTGAGCTAAATAAGAAATCAACATTTTCAGGCTAAAACGAATTAAGTTACAGTACATATATATAAATCCATATAGTGTACAAACGGATTCATTAAAATTAAATTAAAAATTAACTAAATCCTAGCTATATGAAATAGCTACAAATGCCAGCACCACAACACCTGCAGTCAGTGTTGCAAAACACTGATATTTTGTCGCACAACGGTCACACTTGTCGAAAACGTCACACAAATTACATTCTTTTTTTTGTTTTGATTGTGCGAATTTTGTATAGGGGCAAACCGACTTTGGAAACATCGAGAAAACACTGGCGGCAGTTATGGAGACCGCGACAAGCAGCAGCGACACACCAGCAACGTCAGCCGCACCCCCAGTCCAAGCCGCAGAGAAATGGGGCTTTCCGCTGCAAGAACTCTACCGACTTGCATTCACATTCTACAAACGTACGTAAACCGCAGCCAATTGAATTGTGCGTGTTACTCCTTCTAACACGTAATCGCTTGCAGAGAACTCGGGCAAAGCCATTCACTTGTCCTACGAGGACAATCTAAAGCTAATTGCCTTCAAGCAGCAGGCCTCGCTGGGACCCTTCAAAACGAACGATGCCCCGGCTTTGGGCGTGCTCGATGTGATTGGCCGCGATCGCCAGCAGCACTGGCAGCTTCTGGGCGACACAAGCCGCGAGCAGGCAATGGAGGGGTTCATTGATCTGCTGGACACGATGTGCAGTGCATTTCGGCCCTACATCGAGGCGGTGCGTCAGGATCGCGATGAGACTTTGCGCAAAGACCTGCGCCGCATGGAACTCGAGAAGGAGGTGGCACAGAAGCAGGAACGCGAGCAACAGGAGCTGCTGGAGGAGGGCTACAAGGAGGAGCTGCAACGTCGTCAGCTGCAGGACGCTCTCAACAAGCAGACCTATCAGCAGTTCAAGGTAGACAATCGATTTTCCACGCTTTCCCATGGCGCCCCCACCCACGCCGAGCCCTTGCACCTGTTGTTGGGTTCAATAATTCACGATGGGTGTCTGGTTTCGGTCGACTGTGGCCTTGACGCTGCCTGTGGCCCACAAAGAGGTCGTGACCCAGTTCCCAAACAATTTTCTCGGTCAATTTATGAAGAAAATTACTAATTCCCACATTTCATTCCTGTCTGTCTACCACCAGCTTTATGCCGAGAAACAGTTTCCAGGAAACCCAGAGCAGCAGGCTGTGCTCATACACCAGTTGCAGCGGGAGCACTACCATCAGTATATGCAGCAGTTGCATTTGCAAAATCAGAACCAAACACAGGGGCAGACACAGAACCAGACCCAGGTACAGGAAAAAGCACATCAGGAAAAGGAGGAAATGCCTCCAGCCAACAACAATAATAGCAGCACCGAGCTAGCGAATGCCATGGAGGGTTTAAAACTGAACGATTTTAAGCAGCAGACAGTGGAACAGCAGGAGCAGGGGCATGTCGAACAAGTACAGACACAGGTAGGTGGGGAGTATGGACAGGAGGCTGGACATCATGGAAGCGATGAGTACGATGATTATGTGATGATACGCCCCGCCAAAATCTGGACACGACCCGACATCGAGCAGTTCAAGACTGAAGTGTCTGCAGGCGATGGCGATGGCGTCATTACCATTGGCCATGGCGACACGGTGACGGTAGGTCTCACAGCTTGCACACAAACACCTTAAGATTGGCTTTTTTTATGGGTTTTTTTTATTTGCAGGTTCGAGTGCCCACTAATATGAATGGAAAGTGCATCTTTTGGGAATTTGCCACGGACAACTACGACATTGGATTTGGCATTTACTTTGAGTGGGCCAAGCCGGTGACCAATGAGGTGACGGTGCACGTGAGTGACAGCGATGAGGAGGAGGATTGCGTGGATGAGGACTATCTGTCCACCACCGAGGACCTGGAGTCGGGCACATTGTCGCAGGACCACACTGGCCTAAACAATCCGACTGCCGCCTCAAAGGCGCCCATCTCAATAATTGTGCCCATCTATCGGCGCGAGTGCTACAACGAGGTCTATGTCGGCTCGCACTCCTACCCCGGCGAGGGCGTCTACTTGCTGAAGTTCGACAACAGCTACAGCATCTGGCGCTCCAAAACCCTGTACTATCGTGTCTACTATGAGCGCTAAGAGGCCAAATGGGTATACCCAAACCCCCCCCCCCCC